ATCCAGTTCAGGCTGGTCTTGAATTCAGTGATCCTCCTGCCTTAGCTTCCTTAGTTCTGGGATCACAGGATATGCACCACCACATGTGGCAATTTTTGTTTCTTTGAGATAGTCTCACTAAGTTGCATCAATGGGACTCAAACTTGTGATTCTACTTTCTCAGCTTCTGAGAGTTAGCTTAGAGGCATGTGCCACCTTACCTTTTTTGGAAATCTTATTTCTTAATAATTTTATTAGAAAAGCTAAATTATTACATCAGCAAGTACGTGGTGATATCTCAAGTAAAAGTCTTATTTTATGAAAGAAGAGTTTTAATATACAATCAAATTCCATTGGGCTGGGAAGTTGGCTCAGTAGAATAAGCACTTTCCTGGCAAGCGCAAGGGCCTGAGTTCAATCCCTGGTTCCACACACAAAAAAAGAAAATAAACAAATTCCATGAATTTTTTTTGAAGGGGTGAGGGTTGTATTGGGAATCAGATTCAGGGCCCTGTGCTTCCCAGGCAAGTGCTATACCTTGGAGGTATATCCCTGTCACTGTTGTATTTTGAAAAAAATCACACTTTATAGTGAATCAGAAGTGCTTTATCTGTATGTTCTATTTTGTGCTGGAAAATATTAAAAGATACGTATTGAAGAATATAGGCTTAAACAGTTTTTACTGTTTCAACCATGTATTCCCAATTGAAAGTTTTATTTTTCATTTTTGTTATTTTTAATCTGTTTGATTGATTAAATTGATTGATTTGGTACAGGGTCTCGCTGTGCAGCCCAGACTTGTAGTGATCTTCCTGTCTCAGCCTTCCCAGCACTGGGATTACAGGCATGTGCGTCCACACCTGGTTTCAGTGGCGGGTATGGTGTGCCTGGGGTTCTGGGGCAGACACAGTATGTGGTACTGGGAATCAAACTTGGGTTCTTGAGTTTGCCAGGCAGGCGCTTAGACTGCCAAGTTATCTCCCAGACACCCCAACTGAAAATTGAAAATTTTAGTTTCATGTATGTCAAAATACAATGGCTACTATTCAAATAAAAGACTGAATGTGTTTCCTTGATTTATAAGTACTTCTTGAAGAATGAAGATACGTTGTGGTGATAGAAATTTTATGAACTCTTAGCAGGATTTTAAAGTCTAACCACTTATTTGTATGATTTGAGTAAAATATTTGGTATCTGTTCTTCAGTTTTATCTCTAAAATGAGGTAAATGTACATCATAGGGTTGAATCGGTCTTTTAAAACTGAATTTCAAATCACATCTCTTTTATTGCACTGCAGTATTCAGGATGTTGGTTACAAATAACTTGTTTCAACTTAAACTGTATCCATTAATTGTAATAATTAAAATTTGTTCAATTAAGCTTTATTTTAATTAACCAGTTCTAATTTAAAATATATTAAAAGTTATTTCTAGAAGTGGTGACCTTTTATATTGCTTTTGAATGGGCACATAGTTGAGCAGTTTAAGTGATTCTTTTTTTTTTTTTTATATTTATTT